AACGGCGTACTTGAGTACAAGCACGCTCACTCCAGAAATAGCCGTTAATTGTTATATCTCACGCTTTATCTCAGAAGGAATCGTGGTCTACTACATACATGCAAACACACGTACCCCCCTTGCTGTTACTCGATAACCTTACGTAATGATACTGCACTTCGGGCCACTATTACAGAGGTGACATAACGATCCTTCGACGCCTCCGTGGAGGTAGTCCAAAAAGAGCGCCGACAATCTGCTCATCCTGCACTGTCTTCGCGACTGGCGATCTATTCTAGGCCGTAAGCAAGCACGCTAAGCTGCTCCATAAAGTTAACAACAATAGCTCTCAACATCATCCGGTGGCTGACCGGCCGGCGCATATATAATACCCTGGCTGCACGACGAGATCCTAAAGTGTTTCCCCTAATTTCTTGATAAGGTAGTATACACGCGAAATACTCATATATGAGGATACGTGACCGCGGTCGTTCATGTGATGTGAGCAATTATGGAATTGGTTATAAAAAAAATCTGCCCACGTGCTTCGGATACTGCCTATCGATTATGAATAGATTTCACGAGTGTTCATAATATCCCTTTTTTTTTTACTGTCACTTAACTAGAATAACTGACGGCCAAGTGGGTCTCATACAAATTATAAGTTTTTTTTGTGGTAGTACGAGACCTCTCTCATACTGCGGCGGGTCTTCCGCAACGAATAACCCACTCTAAGCTTCACTTTAAAAGAAATATTCTACTGCCAATAAACAAATGGATGACAGACACGAATGTTTTTAAAAGGGACCTTTTAGTTGACCTTCATTGGGCGAAAATAAATATGCTTCGTTTGTGTAAGTACAAGCACACGTTAGGGTATTGATTGAATCAGAAATGTATTACGGTAGTATTTCAAGGCGTGTTTCTCTATGGCAGATCATCGGAAAATGAGGTCAGCTCGTAAAGAACAAACTTAAACGATCACCAGAGAACTTCTAAGAGCACGCAGGTTTTCTGGCTGATTGGAGAGCGACTTCACTGTTTTACGGTTGTAGGGAGGACCTCCACCGTAAAGTGATACTCCAGCTAACCTTTGCCTTACCTTAATACATGCAATGAAAAATGCTCAAATGATTAGGTTTAGCTAATATTAAGCATAGAAACACAAGCGAGCATGCAGTGTAGAAGCATGATAGTAGACAGGCAGATGAAACGCGTTCAGACTAACCAAATTTTTTAATCGTCTTACATTTTCTACCGTCTTTCATAGCCTTCATCTTTCATAGCCTTCATAACAGGCATCGATGCCTCTTCGTGCTCAACGCTAATGAGTCGTTCATCAGTTTCTACAGCAGCAGATATTAGCTACATGGAAAAAGCTCATCTACGTTTCTATTTACGATAGACTGTTTGGGAATTCCGCTAGAATAGAAAGTAGCTAACGAGCCCAAAAATATTTACTTCAAAAGCACAACCCGTTGTTGCTTATAAGTTTAGAAAATACTGGATGACTTCAGTTCACCTTGTCGATACGGTCAGATGGACGATTGAGTATAACTACAAGTATTTTGCGGCTACGAGCTATTTTGTACCTTTCTCCACGTGTGGCATGCGTTTTCCGGCGCGCTAAAAACACAATAGTTGAGATAGCCGCATCATCTTTCGATGCCGCATCAGATCGAGCTTATACGGTTTACTGATTATACCTGCATCGTAGCGCGTGAAGTCGCGCAACCGATACCGACAGCCGAGTTTTGCCATTAACCTCTTGATGCCACAATTAAACTTCGCCCATCCCCGAGACAACACAATACGCGGTGCGATGCCATCAAAGCCTCCCTTTCGTCAGCGGGGGAAGCGTCGCTTGAAACAGCCGCAACTGTGGCACCAGCAAAGAAGCACTGGCGGTAGAAAAAACAGACTGTGTTGTGTGCTTTCTGCCATTGCACTTGTTACCCCCCAGTGGAATTGCTGGAAAGACATTGAACGGCTACAGGAGGCAGACTCGACCTGTGAGAACCCCCCTGTGGGAGCTGTGGCTCCCAGTGAACGATTAGTTCAGGTGATTCAACAGACAGTACTACTAGTATAATATAGAAATTATGTATTTTTTAAACTGAACCTTACAATATAATATGTATGTCCTTTGGATTCGACTAGCAAATTCCTGGGATTCAGCTGTTGTTTCTGAGCTAATAATTGCTACTGATTACAAAAAGGCCGGTGTGGTGTGATATATCGTATCTATTCATGAGCAAGCGTGAGTACTAGGTTGTGTAGGTTTACGGTTCCGTCAAAACAAAGCAGCCTATTTCGAATTCAACTGGTGAATTGTCCGCATCAGATTGCGTGGCGTTCCTTACCAACAAGCGCAGGCCCTCTAGCGTCATTTCGGCATTAGGACACATCTATTTTAATTTAATCTCGTTACGAGCGCGACAACGTCTGTGATTAGCCACCGTGAAAATTGCTAACACCCATGAATAATATGTGGACGAAGTCTATACCGTAACTCGGACCAGTCAGTAACCAGTGAAGCAGCGTTCACGACAGCCCTACGCATTATCGCTTGCGGGCAGTTTTCGATAGCTAGCTACTACTTTAGGTGTTACGCACAACTCCTTATGGCTGGCGTCCAACCAGTTGCTCAGTGCTGCGAGTGCGACCAAAGACGCAAGACGACAACGGCCGCCACGTACCCTTGAACATAGATAGAACTTTTTCTAGACCGTAACTCCAAGACAGTTACTTGCCTGTGGCAACTATACGCAGTTCCCTACTGTAGAACCATCTGCTACGATCTAGATAGTGAAACTTTGAAGTGTATTAGTTATTTACTCGATGTCCGCACGTGATACGGTATGTCGGGGGGTTCACTGCCAACTTTACTTACACAGAAGGAGACCTATCGTCATGATCAAGCTGGCGTTGTACGTTTTCTCTGTAAAAGCTCTGAATGGCTTGTGCGTACCGTTCACATAGATACTTCACATTAACCATCGTTTAGAAATTGGAGCGACGAATGGTCATTAGTGGCTACGTGCTATCTTAGTAATAATAATGTATTTACAACCCAGGCCATGAAACAGGCCATATGGCGATCGCAGTATTGAACGAGTAGAGTACCGAAGAACACGGCAATGCTTATTCCTTGACGCGGAGTAGGTGAGCATTTATTCTATATATTGATTCGTTTCATCAGCTAGCTTAGGAGTTATGATTGATATCGGAAACGGAGGAGTAAAGTTCTCTGGATGTTCAGAAAATGCATTTTTCCACACGAGACGAAAACGAAAGGCTAAAAGAGGAGTTTAAATCCAATCGCGCTCCCATCAGACGAGTAACAACGACAAAGAGAAATGGCTAATAGCAAGTAGACTGTATTTTGCACAGGACAACACTGCCTTCCTGTATATCTCTGGTTGAGCTCTGTTGAACATGTATTCTGTATGGTCCGTACTGAAGTACACGAGTGTACATGCACTGAACTGGCATACGAATACGCTTAAGCTCGTAACAGGCTTATAAAGCATGTGTACTACCATGAAAGTTGCTCATTATACCAATGATCATCATCACTTATATCAAATGTATTGTATTAGTTTATTATAATATATATTACTATATTCTATGAGTACTGTTAACCAAATAAACGGTCCAGCAAAAAAAGGTGGTCAAGTTGATCTCTATCGGGTTCTTTTGTGTTCTTCACGAACGTACACATAAGCAACGGACCGGCTGCTCATCTCATAACATATATAGGTGTCTCTCAACCGCACACTCGATATATATACGTATATATATTTAGATATATATAGAAATCATCTGTCGACGCTGGTGCATAGAGTCCGGACCACCACCGGCGTAACTTGCCTAGCGTATCCCGCTTTAAATACCCAGGTTGTACGTTGGTGACAGCAGACATGGACCGCGAGTGACGGTTTGCTCGAAAATCAGCCTAATTCCGAAATTCGACGAACGAACAAAATCATGTTGTTATTTGCTATCGGCAAGCTCAGTCAACGTATAACTTGCTTTTCGGTAGCAAAGCCCTCGTTTCGGTGCTCGAGCCTCGATCAGCTGTCTCTTTCATAGGGTCATTCACAAAGCTGTGACAGAGACAGGCTAGAACAACGATGGTTCTACGTGTCCTCACCCACACAACGCATAAAACAACATAGCAACAACAACTGCGCGGCCGTGCGCGTGAGGATGAGGGTCTCTGTTTTTAATGTAAGTGGCGGGCATTTTGCGTCATGGCAGAGTGATGGACCTGCTACTGCAGCTGGCTGGGTTGCTTTGTCGACGTCTGCTAGCGCAAACCAAGCCATTGCCGCTACACTGCGAGAAGGCCACCGCTGTTAGCAGACGAGAAAAATAATTTGGCGCATGCGCGAGGCTAATACAACGACTAGCAGGGACGAAGAGTGAGAGAGATGGAGAGGGGAGAGGGACTTCGCGGGAATCGGAAGAAACATTCGAGTGCACCGGGTTACCTGCGTGGATGTAAATGCTATGATCGCTGGCGGACTTCTACTACACGTTAAATTTACAATGCTTTAAGTATTAGAACATTAGACTCTGGATTATTTATATGAACTAATAATAGCCTATTTTATAATGATAATAAAATAATGAAGAGAGTAATAATAAAAGGAAGAGTACTAATAATGAAACTGTTTTAACGTGTACAAACATGCAGTGTCTTGCTTAAAAACCCTGTGTTCTATGACTGCTTCCAAGGAGCGGTGTTTGCCAGACAGTTTATATAATGTTCTTCATAAAAAAACCTAACTTCAATATGCGTGAAGAAATGGAAACATTTAGGCGTTGTGAAGACTAGAATTTTTACCGCTTGGCAAAATCGCGTACCTGTAAAGGAGATTATCTAGTGTTCAAAGCAGTAGATTCATGTACTTTGCTAAAATGGCACGTTTGTTCTCGTAATAAGAAACTGGCAACGAGGTTAGCGTAAAACATTCTAGTGTAAGACATTGCCCAATAAGAAATTATATGCTCACCCGCTCGGAGTCTGTGTTAGTATTTTCCGAGCCGAACGAATTGATGGAGCTTGTCTCTTCCCGATGAACTACAGGAGTAGCGGAGCTGTTCGCGTCGTGACCAGTTGCACTCGATGACGGCGTTGATGATGTCGTACTCTCCGCATCCATATCCCTAGTATTATTATTGTTATTTGTAAATTTTGCTACAACGTTCCATCTAGAACGACAACATATATATGATGAGTGGATGAAATTCGATTTTAAAAACTCAGTTTGCCGCACCTATAGCTGATTTGCGTATATCTGCATAAAAGATCTCACTGAACCAAAAACGTGCAAATAACAGACGATAGGTAAAATAACCTTTCAAAAATATAAGAATTTCAAGACGTAATCAGTTACTAACCTGCTCGTCCGGTGTGGATGAAGCTGCTTGGTGGTGCGGGACGAAGCGGCCGTGGCGGTCGCTGTGGCAGCTGCTACAAGCCTTGCTGTGTGTGGATGGAAGATCGTAGAATTGAAACAAGTTTCCTGGATCACTTGACGCAATTTTTTTACCCACTGCTGTTTTGCTTCAAGGTTTGCGGCCTTCAGAACAATGCGGTTTTCATTGGGACCTTGGGGCACGCTCCACACAGCCAGCTTTGTCTCATCCCCGCCTTCAATATGCTCCGAGATGCCGATTTCAGATGTCATTAAGCGACTTTTATATTGGTACCTCACCTTACCTTGGCCGTCCTTGATCTCTTTGGCGAATAAAAGGTAAAGCTCAAACAGGAACATATGACGCTCTCGCCCCTTACGAATCAATGCCCGCTGATCAAACACAACGAAGGCGTCTTGCAAGATCACATCACCTAGCTGCTCGAGGCTTAGCTGTTTGCAAAGTAACAAATGAAACGTTCAGTGTATTTTCGCAATACTCAGTGTGTTCAATTAGGATTTCGTCATTTTGTTACCTTGCAGCTAATTAGAACTGAGTTTCAACCATAGGTTGAAACCTGAAGACAGCTTAAAATAAGGTCATATATTTCTTAGATAGAAAACTATTGGACAATTGAGTACTGTTCTATGCATTTTTTAAATTGCAACTTTTTTTGTACTATGTCACGAACTTATTCGTATGTCTATGTTCCGGCTTGGCCGCCATCTGTCGTAGAGTACTTAGCTTCGGCCACAGTTCAAAGCCTATAGCCTTTCATGAGAAAAGGTCCCGATAATCAATATGATCATAATGATAATGCTCATTGGCCGTAGAATATCGAAAGGATCTTAAAATCAGATGAATAACTCACATCGCATCCTTCTAGCAGAGACAGATGCATAACGTCGTTGGCCTTCTTAGGTACGCCAAGCATGACTTCGAGTCCGTCCTTGATTTCGCCCTGTTCATGCCCCTCACAGCATGACAGGAGGTCCTTGAGCAACAGCTGATATTTGGTAATGCGCTGCACGGGCTTAATTAGGTACGCCTGCAGAGGGTGAGCGATCGCGTACCTGTAAAGGAGATTAATCACATGAATACGGCAGCGCATTTTTCCTGTCACCGGCAGCTCTTCGTGCGATTCCACGAACTTGTACACAAAAACCCTGTGAGGTTAGCCATATTATTGATTTAGATCCGCGCTCGTCTGCTTCGGCAAGTGTAAAAAATGGTAATTCCTAGAAAGTGAACTTGTTCTAAACGTACCTTTGTTGAACATCTTCAAAGAACCCTCCAGCACACTGAATGAGAATCTGATTAGAGTCCGGCTTATTTTTACAGTATTTAACGTACATATCAAATTTGACAGCCCACGTCACGAAACAGTGTCCTACGTCCTCAGGTATGGTCTCATACTTTTCTAATTCTTTTAGGAATGTAGATTGGTGAAACTCCGAAATTTCTTCAATGTTACCAAACAGGATTGCCTCCTTTCCGCGTAACGCTTCTGGCTTCGAAATATTGGGGTCTCGAACCTCCTAAAAAGTTTAGACAGCGCAACCACAGTGAAAAGTTTGAATTGCCCCTCCTTCCAAGTTTGAATCAGCTTCTAATAGGCTTGCGTATATTGAGTTAGGCTTTGGTCAATTTCAACTAGATAAAAACCAACATTTCGATTAAACTTACCAAAAATAAGACTTTGTATCGTTTGAAGAGCTAACAGTTAGCTGTATGGTAATAACTTACCAAAAAATGCACACCGTTTGAAAAGACTTCGAATCTATGCAACGACATTACTTCCATCTATCTTTTTTTCGAAATTACTCATGTGTCTTTTGCCAACTTAGACAGAACGCAACTTGCAACTAGAAAGCATAATTTACTCCTCGCTGTCATGTCACCTTTTATTATACTAACGATTTTAGAGTTACGTATTCTTTTAAGGTATGCCATAATTGTCAGTTTATAAGAGATTCCTATATCAAAATCGACCTTAAGATAGGTATTGATGCACGTTTCGAGATCAGCGACATAGGCCCGTTCTGTCTGAAGCAATTCGGCCATGATGAATTCTTTTCGTCGGGCGCTCTTGCGCTTCTCTTCTGTGAGTTCCTTGGCGACGACGGGTCCTGAACTGCCGGAATGCGTATGACCGTCTCCGTGCACGTCAGCGTCCGCCTCTTGTGCAAGTCGCGCTTCAAGGTTCGGATCCGAATGACGGGAGTCAAGCGATAGAACGTTGGTACTCCCGCCGGACCCGCCACTGCCTTCGCTTCCGGCATCGCCGTGTGCTGCCTTACCCAGTTTGTTCTCCAGGTTTTCTCTGGAAATATGCGGGACAACAGAGGCCAATGTATCGTTTTACGCGCAAATACCTATTTGTGTCTATCTTTTTACTAGAGAGAATCTTGTATTGAAGAAACGTGACCCAACAACTACAGTGCTCCGTGACCATGCATTAAAACTGCAGTCACAGTATTTTGCAGACGAGTTTAATTGTGTTTTAGATCTTGTTAACAACGATATCGCACGGATTTGAAGCAAATAATAACGTTTATAATATAAAAAAATACACCATATATGAAGTGCTTATATTGAGTAAATAAAATATATATTGCAAAATTGTGCCGACAATGAAACCTTTGTTTGACTTTGAACGAGATGTAATGGAACTAAGGGACGCCATCAAAATACGTCGTGTTAAACTTGGAGTTTCTTTAATAAACTGACACACTGTTATGCACCAGCGTACAACAATGCTCGAATATTAGCGTATTTGATATATCGATCAATCTCTGTGACCCATAACAATGATTTTTCAAATAACTTCGTACCTCCATATACATGATCTCATAACCCCATATAGGGTGGCGCGGTGGACGAAACGTAATACCCGTTAGACAAAAAGCACAAGGAGGAGGTGGCTGCTATGCTAGACTCCGCTGCGGAGTTCTACAGGGATTTTTGTAATCGTTGTTCACGGCTATTGTGGCACAACAGCTAACAACACACGGACAGAGGTGAAGCACAAATTCGAAAAAAGCTAATTCGTCAACACGAGAAGTCCTGAGTCCTGACAGGTTCGTGCAGTCAACATCGTTGCCGTGAAAAAATGGTAGTCTGCAACAATTATTATGCCGAACACGACGACAACAACAACAAAGTCGAACCTCGACGCCGGCTTCCTGTGATGGGGCATCCACAGAACTCCTATATTCACTAACACGTACACATCAAATAAATCTATCGATATCTCATCTCTAAACCAAAGATATATTTTCTCTCATGTATATGTACTAACACGAGAGTCTTCTGCTGACTCAGTCAAAATTTCTCGAATAAAATGCACCTTTCCCTAAACTATGGCACCTTAACAGCGTCTCTTTGCTCTTAGCTAACGAAGTTAAAGACTCGAGCACATATGATTATTTATTTCATAGAAGCGTTACGAGTAAAATGATAGGATCACAATCATTCATGTTCTGATCTGTTCTGCTTAAGCAATTTTATCTTATATTTAATTTATTTAATCAGTACGTCTTATTTGTGTTAAATATCGTCTCGTCTCATATCCTACGTCTTTGTCGTGCTTCTTATAGGCTACTGAAGTTTTCGCATCAATATGTAGCCACATACGGGCATACAAGGCCAATACATAAAGGCTCCTGAGAGAGGCTCTGGTACTATTGGTCCTCCAATTAACAATCATTCATACAAATGAGCTCTCGTTATTGAATGAAGTTCGTCCAAATGTAGTAGATACACCAGTAATCCGCAAACTCTATCTCAGAGTATCTCAAAGACATAAACCTTGGAAACGAAAAGTAAACATTTCAAGTGATGGATGCTTTTCCCCAAGTAACCCGTAAATAATTATTAAGCAATCTGTGGTTTTTCTTATTGCATTTTGCGATCGCAGGGGGGGGGGGGGGTAGCTGTGCTTACGACAACTGCATTCGGAACGGGTGATATTCGAGACGGAAATTAGCCAGTCTGAACTTCTTATCTTGGACTGTGTGGTATCTCTAAATCTAATGAATATAACACATTACTGAGATGCAAATCTGTTCATTTTTTTAGTGCGGGGCATATTTATCCTAAGCAAAGTGCTTCACTTAAACGTGGATAAAAAACAATAAATAATGCTCATTAAGGAGCCGTCTCGAACACTGTAATACAACTCCATTACACTCCGAAACATAATGGACGTTTTAATAGTGCTTATTGTGAAAATTAAAGAAAATGTTCCAAACGAAGTTATGCCACTTACTTATAATTTGCCATTCTTGTTGAGAAGTCTTTATAGCGATGGTCGACTGCATTTACCCAATCCTTGATGGAGCTCGCGTGGGGATGCCCCCGCTCAACAAGGTTGTCGGCCAATTGTAAAAGTATACGGACTTTTTCTCGCGTCTCCCGGGCGTTGCCCGTAAATTCATTATGTTCTGCAACGTCATTTTTAACAATAGTTAAGACACATGTCACTTCAAAGCAAAAATTGTCCCAAAAATAAGTATGTTTCTATAAAATAAAAAATGTTTGAGAAGGAAAATTTTATCAGATGCATTTAGCTCTGTTTTGTCACACGTCGTCCCTAAACAGATAATAGATCTCAGGATCTATACCTAGGAATTTGTATCACTTTTGTTACTCGTTTATTCTAGGTAGTTATTGTATTGTTAGCAAAAAATAGTTATTTACATCATACAATTAATGAAGTATCAGTAAATTAGATTGCAATCGACGATTGGTCGGGTACACGGCTTACAATAGTGTTACAATGCTGGCACGAAACTCAAATGGTGTTATCGGATCATATGAACGCCTGATTGATTATCCAATTACGTACGGCGAAGTGGCCCGAAAAGACTTCTCTATCTTTCGATTCTGTAAATGAGCTTCACTTGCAATATTTTTCCAAAAATTAATGTATATATCTAAGTTACTATAATTTTACGTAAACGTAATGTTGTTAAAACGCTGCTTGACTTACTGTGGGCGTTTTTAGTAGGCACAGAGGTTTGGTCTTAGGTCTTTTCTTCAAATCACCTCGGGAAGTGCTAGGTGATTCGAGTGCTGACCTATTACTACGCTCACTAGGCTTAACCTGACGACACCTTATTGTTTCTAAAATCACTGATTAACTATAACATACTAACCCTCTAAAAGCTTTTCGATGTCGGTAGCGCCTTTCCGAGAATTCAAGTACTGCTCACCGGTTTCCTCAATCCAGCCAATAGCCTGAATAGCGCTCCGTTCAAATAGACAGAACTGCTGGCACTGCTCGATACGCCGTTTCCGAGACGTCCAATATTCGAGCACTTTGTTCTCCTGCTTAAGCAACTGATCCATCAGCGCTTTAACTTTGGCTTCTGGCGTCCGCGAGTTGCCCGTCTGACCATAGTACTGCTGACAGCGAGCCGCGTATTTTAGGAACGTCTCAGCGTTACGGCGCGCCATAGTGCACGCCTTGAGGAAGGCCTCTTTTTTCTCCTGGTGTTTGCCTAGCAGCTGGCTGAGGAATGTCACTTGGTCCTGCGAGGTGTCCCCCGCGCTCAAGCAGAAGTCTTCATCCCGCTTGTACTCCCTCTCCAGGCTATCCAACACTGAATAAACGTGCTCGGCCGTCTTGAAGAAGCGGTGCGATGCATTGACCATGCGGTGGCGATCCTCGGCATGGCCCATCATTGAGTGCCACCGAGCGTCAACCTTCTCGGCGATGGCCTGGATCTTATCGGCCTGCGGGTCTGGTAGAGGCGTCGCTGCTCCGGTCACAGCTGATATCCCACCCGCCCCAGGCGAAACAACGTTGTGTTGTGAATTATGCTTCAACAGCTGCTCGGCCCGCTGTCCAATGTGGATGGCACTGGCGTGGGTGTTCTCTATTGCCTGCGTGAACTGCTCATGTTGACTTGCCAGCTGTTCCGCCTCCTTAAGGCACGTCGGCACTTGGAACGTTGCCATCAACATCGACTCACCCTGGTGGATCCAGGTGAGCACCTGATGCGCCTCGCGCTCCAGTGTAGCGACCTGTACTGCCATTTCGAGGCGAGCCTTCCTACTCTCGGCTACTCCCTCTAGTCCAGCGCGACGTTCATGTAAGAAACCCAGGAGATTTTGTAGCCGCTGCCTAGCATCCGACTGCTGATCAGCCGCAACTACGACGCCGGATGACTCCAATAGAGCCGACAGCTCTTGGCCACGCTGGATCACCTGCATTAGATTGAGGAAAAAAGAATAACACTATACTGAGGACAAAAACAACGTAAACTCAGATGAGCATGCATGACAAAGTTACGCCCGTTGGTTAAGTACTGAAACGTCGTGAGCCATTGGTTAAAAAGATTCTGAGTAAAAAACTTTTTGTGAACTTAAAAATTAATCTGGAATATTGAGAGCTATTTACGGATGTCGATTTGTCTGAAGGTGCAGGAGCTTCACGTTTGGTGGATCCAGAAATACTTTGTCTCTACTTCGGTTAAACGAGTAAGATAAAAATTGTCTTTTAAAGTTCCACAGACGTTCGTACTCCAGATTTTTACGACACGGAAATAAGCTATCATTGAAATGGCAGCACATTACAAATAACAGTAACACATGGAAACGAAAGTACACTCCGTAACGTTTTATATTGAACGATCTAATATATATGTTTACTGAAACGGATGCACAAAGTGTATAGTTAATTATGTTCCTGGTCTTGGTTGGCTTTAGATATATGACAGCCACCAATCGATTGTTTAGTCGCTATGCGCCACTGGCCGACCCTTGTGTAAATAGAATTGTGAAATCAAGTTTGGCATGGCAATTGATAGGACAAAGGGTTATAGATAGTCCTTACCTGATAGGTGGTCTGCGTAATATGCTGCACGCTATCAGCGTGCAGCTGCGAGAGCTGTTCAGCCCGCTCTAAGACGCTACTTGTCTCGGCGTGCTTGAGATCCTCAGACCACACTTCCATTTGAGATGTTAGGTGAGACGCGTCCCGTTCGAATAACCTAAGAAGGTCAAAATAGGTGTCACGAGATAATAGTAAAATGCTTTTCAGTGAATATATTATTACTAATTTTCCAGCCGAGCCTATATATATATATATATATATATATATATATATATATATATGAAGGGGATGAACTAAACGCGCGATGATGTGGCACCGTGTCTCGGCACCCCCGACACCATATCGCTATAATCGGTGGGCCGTCTACCCATTATCCTTCGTGCCCTACACATCGGCCAATTGGGCAGGTCGCTAATAACGAATAATCGCTACTAAATGGATATGTGTTTCGGCTAGCTTTTGCGTACTATAGATAAATTAAATATCTTATTACCTCTGTTTTTTAATAATGACAAATGCGCTTATGATACTACAAGATTTTATTATTCTAAATTATGTTAATAATTAATTAACTAATTAATTGTTGTATCAGTAACTGAATTATTTTCGTTAAAAATAACTGCTAGAAATAAACTGATTTTTACTTAAATTTAAAAGAGCAATTACATAAAAAGGAAGAACAAAATAACACATTTTTAATCGAAAAGGTGATTTTTTTAGTAGTATAATAATGTGACTCTCTGTAACTATACCGAAATAAGCAAAACTAGAGCTCAGATACGTGTATGTTTTCGACTTCGTTAAGGATGCCACTCTATTACCTTAACTGCAGACAGACGTCGAGTTTAAGTTTGCGGGCGGCCCAGAGTTCCTCCATTTCCGCGCGAGTCCTTTGAAGTCGCTCGAGGGTTTCTAAAACAGGCGGTAACGATGATTTGTCGTTTTCGACTGTCATACCCAATCCGCGTAATTCTTCTACCAGAGCTTCGCCCTCCTCTGCAGAGCGGCCGGTCAATCGAATCCACGTCCCCAGAAAAAAATGAAGCAATCGAGTGAGAAGTCAAAATAGATAATTAACAAAAAAAAAAAACCAAAATAGAAGGCTACAGAGCTCTGCGGACATTCTAACTGTACGTTCTAATAAAACTATACCATATTTTTGTGAGCATTTAGATGTCATACTCCTACGTTTTTGCGAAACCTGTGACCTAACTTTCAATATCAAGAACGATTAGCCCACCTGTATATTTATGTGTTCATTATGTATCATATTCCACCTATTATTTACGAAGTTCAACGTTTAAAAATGATAATTTCCCCGCATAGTGCCCTCTACGAACCGATAGTTGAGTGCACAGCTTCAAGGGTCGTGTCCCGATGTTGGGTGAACTGCGCGAGTAAGGCCTCGGCTGCCTCCACCGTATCGGCGACTCGATCGCTCTCCAGATCTGGTCGAAGTTCCTCGAACCAAACCTGTAGTTCTTTGTCATGCGTATAGAAGACGACGGCCAGCTGCAACAGCTGGCGTCGTTGCTCCACGCGTCGAGCGAAAGACTCGATTTGCTGTTGAAGTTCGCGAGCTTCGGCGAAGATCTCAGCCGCGTTGCACTCGCCCGTCTGCGCCAGCTCTTCAGCTGCGGACAGCAGCTTTTCAGCATTCGTATACGTGTTCTACAGGTTGAATGAACGAAAATACGAGAAAAAAAGAAACGATCAAAACTGATTTGACCATTTGTGGAAGATCATTGCTACTTAAACGGAAAAAAACATGATAGTAAACATACGAAGCAGTTCCTCTTAGTCGATGAAGAACAGAGCCATAACAAATAATAAAAACAAATTAGGTTTTATGTTAGATTTAACTTTAAACACAGCGTTCTCAAAACATGTATCCTTTCTGTGTGTCAGACATATCTTATTCAAGAAGATGAGAAATATTTGTTTTAATTTTTAAACAGCACTAAAAAAGTGGGGGACGATCGAACTTAGCATTATTAGACCTGCACCACCAGGCTATAGAACAACTAAGGTTATAAAAACAGTAGGTTACTGTTTTGTATGTCTAGTGGTGCATCTGATACGATAATGATATCGATTGCAGAAATGCTTACTATGGAGATAAATAAGTAAATAAGGTTTGACAAAAAAATACATATACTTACTAAGACTTTAAAAATAGGCATTCCCAACTCAAAACAACCCCTGGTGTAGTTTAGGAGGTTTCTTATTCTAGTCAGCGTGGTTTCGCTCTGCACCTCGACAAGCACTCTCTAAAGAAATAAGTTTCTTGTCCCAACTTGGTGTTAATTTCAAAACTTAATATTAATTTGATCGGTTGTGAACCAATGGTAGCAGCTTCTTTCTGCTTTTCATGTTTCGGAGCAACGTCGCATTGGGTGTCTGCAATCACCAAGATGGCTACTAATATCATCAATAAGATATATCATCCTCTGTATGTGTAAAGGCTGTGTTGCACAATTAACGCTTTCAACGTGTGTTTAATGACAAACTATGTTCAAGTTACTTTATGGAAGAAGTTATTAGGGTTTAGTTAATTACGAAATAGCTTGCGGCTGTTCGGCGTTCTCTTTCGTAAACGAAGTACTTTAAATACTTTTGGAAACGAAAAATTTAAATAAAATATGATCAACAGTATATAGGCGCGGACTGAAGCTACAGAGGGGCGCTCCGGTCTAACTCTCGAAAGTTGACTCTAATTTGGCACCTTGCGCAGTTACCGTTGAGAATTTCTGAGTATTATTTTTTTGGCTTGATGTGACCATGTTATGAAACACATGCCGTGCGTTAATGGATTATGCTCACTTAGGTAACTGGAGTGATGATTCTAATGGGTGACCGTTCCTGGGCTTACGGTTAGAGTAACTGCACTAATATTTTCTCAAGCCTTCTGTGCATACAATATCTGTTACTTTACAGAGCAAGGCAAAGTGCACCAGGTCATTCCAGTCTATCTACATGACTGAAACTCTATAACCGTCTGCCTGTCTGTACAATGGTTGCAATTGGGTAGGTTATGGGTGCCTAGAGTTTTATCCTGAGACGGTCTGACCGGAATAATACTTTTTTCTCTAAAAAGTCGAGTTTCTTTTTCGTAGATTATAATGTTAACTTAGCAAGATGGTCGACTTGCGCGAAAATTGTCGAGAATTTGTCAATGGTTTGTTTTGAAAAGTTGTTTGCATGACTCTTGCTTTCGAATGGTACAATTTATCAAAATGGGTAGACAGGATAAGGGCAAGAGGTTATAAAGATTACAACAGTCTTCCGATTGCAGAACAAAACTGACTGTAGAGCGACACTGGGTCTAAAATCAGACTTTTTCAGCCGCATGCACAGCCGGAGGTTAAATAAAATTTATGTGGCATTGACTCGAAAGAATAGCTAGGATATTCTTGTGAGATCATCCACCAGAATAGCAGATCACTGTTGGCGTATAATAATAGAATAATTGCGCAAAACAAACGCGATCACTGGCCCTCAGTGAGAAATTGCTCAGGTCAAAAAAACATGGAAACTACAAGCGGATTAGAGAAGCAATATAACAGGTCTCCTAGAGAACCGCAACCGGACGTTTGTAAGACGTGTAGGTCTGGAAAAAAGTAACAGCTTATGTTACGAATTGAATGCAACACAGATGTTTGAAGAGACTGATGAAATAAAGTCGTTGCCACCTGGACTATTAGGACGTTTTAATGGCGGAGCTGAATGACCGGGAGCAAAGTAACTGCAAGAGGATAGATGTCGCTGATCGAATTACTATGGTCGGATAGCTGCAAAAAGATCACGCATGTTGTAGAACTTGAACGGTCTAATTGTGAACGTATTGGCCACCAATTGATAGCGCGAACCAAGCGTTTCCATTTAGGATGTTGCCTGCGCGACAAATCTCCTTTTATCGTTCAGATTTCTTTGCACATGTATATGGATGACTTGTAAAAGTTGAAGTGACCTACATTTTGATAAGATTTTTGGGAAGAAATTTTCACAAAATACCTACATGAAAGTCAACGAAGGGAGACACTTGTTGCCAACGATCGGTGAGCTGAGTAAAAATGCTGTACATGTTCCCATAGCGCATGTTTCGGCGCAAAAAAATACCATCGGGTTGTATTGGTTTATCTGTGTAACAGTGGGATGAAAATAAATTCTAACATGGTTTTTAGCAAAACAGCAATAAATTCTAATTGGAAAGCCATGGCTAAATGTAACGTAAACAAGATACGCTTATAAACAGTTTGATGAAACAGCTCTCGAAGGGTAGCGATAACTGTTTGTGTATACATTAAGTTAGATGTAACGGCAAAAAGTAAATAATTTACGCTCAACACGAATCTGTCTAGTATAGTATATAGATATAAATAGTATGCCTTCATTCTGTTATCCGTTGCGTACGCAGCGATCCCGTCCATTTGCTAAACTGAGAAATGTATATTGTAACAACGTTTACACACAGTTCGAATTACTAATACTACTTTGTACAGAAGCAATGATAATATTCACGAATTATTCTCGCTACTTATAGTCAACATAGCGATTGTGCGCACCCTACCGTCAAACAAACTAGTTAAATCCCCTGATAATGTATATATATATATATATATTTTAGGATAATGAGTTTCGTGTAGGTACCTGCGCCACATCCTCAAAGTGTTCATGGGCCTTCTGAAGAGCTCGGGCTTTCGCGAGGTTCTTTCCGGTGCCTGGGTTCTTCCTGAGAAACACCTCGCCGTGTTTTTCAAGCCAGTCCAGGACCTGCCGGACGTCCTCTTGAAACAAGCGCAGCGCGAGCCGCTGATGGAGCTTGAGCTTTTTCTGGTGCCAAGCGCTCTCCAGTGTGCGATGCTGCGCCAGAATTTCGTGAATCACGCTAAGAACGTGCTTCGCACCTTCTGTGTAGTCCGCTTTCCCTTTGCCCTGACCACTGCTACCATCTTTGCCATTCTCTAAACAAACGCATACGCGCCCAGAGCGAAAATATATGAAACAAAAAATAGTTAATGACTTCACTAGAGTGGAACAGGTATGCAGTATTTGTGATTCTGTAATTTTGAAGCCAGGGATATGAACATCTGCTGGTCAGCTGTGATTACGGGATATAACCAACGATACTGAGTAATGTAGTCTTCACCTTGCCGCAATTAGAAATACATATCTGTACACTTATACAGTTACTCCCGTGTACCTGTTTAACTTACCCGAGCGATCCGGTGGATGGCAGACTTGTACGAGGTGGTTGAGCTGATAGAGGAGCTTCTTCGACGCTGAATGCACCTCGGTATAGCTCTGACACATCGAGTCAAACACATCCTGATGTTCCTGTATCTGTCGCTCTAACTCAGTCACTTCCCGAGAAATCTGTTGGACCTCATTCGCAGCTTGCCATATGGGCACGTTGGTCAAGTACCTGGTGATGGCCGAAAAAAAGTTCAGAAACGCGAGTACACATACTACTAATATCTAAGAAAATAGTCACCATATTATGTAATCTAGTGGGGGGGGGGGGGGCTGTATTTCAATCCAGTGCGATCTCGGTGTTAGAATTTGTCTGTCTTCACTATTTGCTATTTTTATTCGATATTCATTATTATGATGATTACTATTACTAGTGCTTTATGGTATGCTAAATGGGGGCACGAACTTACGCCTGAGCTTTCTGGTGAAAAACAACTGAAAGCGCCAATACCGCTGTACGTTCCTCAAGCCAAGAAGCAAATTCCTTCCAGGCTCGATCGAGCATTGAAGCTATTTGTTGGACCGCGCCAGCTGCGTAATGGCCGCTCTCAATCAGGCGATTACCCAACGTAACTACGCGTTGAATGTTTACGTAGACATCCTGTGTTACGACAAAAGTCATGTATGATAAAGCGAGATCAGAAACGAGTAAATTATTAGTACAGTTAATTAATGCAATCACTTAATTGCCAAATCAATAATTTCGATTATATATATATAACCTATAAAAAGTGTTTACTAAGACTGTTTGTTTTGTCACATCAAGGAAAAAGACTAGGCAAAGGAAGCGTCACGATGAAAAATAATTTGCCCCAGTGTGTCTAGCAACGATCTCTAAAATGGACCAAGTTAACGCCGTTCAAGGCAGTAACAGTCAATTTGTTAGCGAATTATTTCCCCATGATTATACACATGTTGCATTTTGTATAAGCTTTCGTTAATTACAGCGAAAAGCTACGGGGCGTTCACTGATCAGACCGATCCTGTTCTGTGTCAGGACGTTTGCGCACGTGCAGCGTATACTGACACGTATTTATTCGAGCACGTACCATTGACGACACAGTAAAATGTTGATGCTCTTCCTGTAATGCTTTCGCGTCCTGAATAGAGTGACCAATATCCATGTAGCCGACGAGAAAGAGATCTCGGTTGTGACCTATCCAGTCTAGCATTTTTTGTGCGTCGCTTTGGTATACTGAGAGCTGGAGACATTGTTCAAGCTGAACCTAAGAGTAAAGGGTTGAGCATCACAACGTTAATGCATGGATTATATTTCAAGAATGAATTTGGCACACTATTTATATAAACGAGCCTAATACAGAGTTTATTTTAGATTACTATCATGTTATTGAAAATTCTGCTTGTAATCCAGACAAATCGGGCTGGGTCAGACACTTTAGCGTTTCCCCTACGACGGATGTTGGGAAAGCGTAGCGAAATGCTTCGTGAATTAACTCATCCTCGTCACCCGTCGAATACTGCTCACTGCGTTAATACACTATTATCTATAGACATAAAATATCAAAATGTACGCCAGCAATACGAATTAATCTGGAAAAAATTCTCATAAGTCGGTGTCCACGAAAGAGCATCGTCGTCAAATAATTAGACAAAAACATCTAAGACCAAGGTCCAAGCTCGCGTCTCCGATGCCCTTCCGGCGCTAATCGGTCAGACTCATCCGCTTTTGCCCAGACAAAAATACCACTATACATACTATCAATAAACTAATTATTACAGGCAGATTAATTGCAGTCGATTGGGACCATAACTTCAAATGAACAATTTTTTTTTTTCTGAAGAATATATTGAGCTGCTTGTATGTTATGCTTAAGTATATTACAGAACATTCTTCGACCGGAGTAATTTAGCATCAAAGAGAAATTCTATAACAGAGGAAACGCGATAGGTCAATCTTGTGTTCTATCGCTGGGCACACCCGTTTTAAAAGACAATATTGCAACGTACTCGTGTCTCTAATACTGTAATTAAAGTTTCACCTTTCTAACGTGCCACATCTGGAGCACGTGTTGTCGTGTGACACGCACGGTATCAAGCATTCTAGATATCTGGGGGCCCATTTGAGCAAGGTCGGGATTCGCGTCCCCTAAGGAGCAAATCACCTGTTGGCCTTCGTGGCCAACTTCATCAACTGGCACTTGGAGAATCTTTTTTTTCGCCGCAACGTGTTCCTCCATCAGCTGTTTAGCGCGTTCAGCATCATCTGAAATAGGATTATGAAAGCGACATAGAGACCTATTATTTCTTCTTTACTTGACTTAGCCGGCTATTATGAAATACATGGCTAAAAAAAACAACATAAAACCTAAATGTTTGTTTTCTGCCACATATTCAATGTTGGGGTTTAAACTCTAATCACTAGACTTCGGTTAACTTTGTGTGTTTTGTAATGAAATAGGTTTCGGTAGTTTGACCTAAGTAGGCTCTATTTTTCAGTGTCATCTGGGTATCTACCGCTGCAACAGCACTCGGTGTCACGCATGTTTAGTGCTTTTAGGTTTCCTAACGCTCTCCGTATCTAAAAATCTTTCTGAAGATTATCTATCTGGAAGCTTGGAACTTCAAAGTTCAGGTATTGAATTTGGTTAACACGTGTCTGTAACACGGATCACACGCCAGCTCGCTTGCCGTTGTGTCTAAAAGCATGCGCATAAAGTTTTATTTCACATCGAGATCCTTCTATGAGTACCTGTATAATTTTTTTTGACTAGTTCTTGCTTCCAACCATCCAAACGTGTTAGGATATCCTGCATTTTCCAGAGGAATCCCTCAAGTGCCATACGTAATTCGCACCATTGCGTATGGTCGTAAGAGAGTGTACCACCGAGATCCGAAGTTAGCTGTGAGTGATCGATTATTCGCGGTAGAAATTCCGCTGAAATCATAGTCGTCTAAAAAAGAAATAATAGGTTTTGCATTTAAAAATTATAGTCGTAAATTTCCTATATAATCATGTCATTAACAGATATCTGTCATAATCACCGAGAGACTCGCCAGTGAATAATTAGCTTTGTATTAATGGCTGACAGCAGCATGACGAAAACATACAAATGACAAAACGTTTATTTTCTGTACAACTTAACTTACTGAACTTTTTTTCAGCACTGATCCTCAATTTTACAGAACCACTTAGATTCTAAGTAGACAAAAACAACGTTGTCGTGGTCAGCTGTTAGAAATAATTTCATGGGCTCGGTAAGCCTCATTTTCTCGACGAGTAGAGAAAAATATTATTCTTCATTGAGCGCCGTACTGCCTACCGAAAATCCGTGATAAATATGCTATTTCTCTGATAAAAGGTCAAAGCACAGTTATTGTTGGCTGACTCTTGGCGCGCTAGCCGGAACAGAAAAAAGGCACCGTTCCTTCTGTGTGAATATGAAAGTAGGCGAAACTGAATGCAGAATCAAAACCGCTTAGTTTACCCATACCACGGTACCGACCGAACGACTATAATATCTTTCTGTTTTGTTAAGTAGCGACATTTACATGCGGGGGAAACAATTGTTAGCAGCGACGCACTTGCAGTGCGCGGCTGGCTTCGACATATGTAAACAGTCACAGCGCTCAGTCAAATACATGAATCCAGAATACCTCACGTACCAACATATCCGCTGATACGATATGTATATCATTAACAAACAAAATAATCGTAATAATGTAAAAAGAACAGATGTTCAGCGTATGAATGCACAAATATTATCGTCTAATCACATCTATATATATATATATATACAAGCGTTAATGGACCAGCAAAAAAAAAAATTATGAAACTTGTCGCTAGAGGGATCTGCACAGACGTGTCATTAGGAGAAAGACGAGAACTTACTCGAACTGAGGTAATATTTATACTTACTATACGGGAAAACTAGTTCGTTTACTCAATAGCCATCACAGTTCCATGATTTTATTCAGTTCTCTAAGCACTTCTCGATACACTTTCATGCATCATTCGCGTTGCAAACAAAGTTATGGATGTGCAAAAGGGTCTTGAAAGCCGATCACTTGCTTCAATGCAGACAAAATAAAAGTTAACCCAGATACACCACATGTATGTATAGATATATGAAAACCAAAGTACACGATCGGCACTGTACAGGCTTCTTTCACTTGAACTTTTACCCCAAACGCGATCAATCGCAAGCGATACACGGTTAACATAAGATCGCTGAAAAAAGATATCTGCAAATAGAAACAGACAACGAAGTACCTTCTTGGGATCGCATCCTCATATGGTGGGCTAACGAACCGCAAATCTGCAATTGAATTTTTATCAAATACCCCAAAACGGTATGAATATATCTCATGATGTAATCAAAGGTAGACCAAGCTCAGTTTCTTAGTTCTATGGATACGATGCAACAAACGCTGACTAAATCACAGGGAAGCTTCATTGTATGTTCCCCAACAAACGTAGAAATCATAAAGCGGTTGAAGAAGGAGAGGAAATATAGACTGACATTTAATCGGATGGCTAGGCGTAACGGGGTAACTCTTCATACTTGCGTAGTGTGATAGACGAGTAATATCATACAACTGAGCAAGAAGAAATATCGCACCTTCTATAAATTTTATTCGTATATGCCTTTAGAGACGACTGACGACATATTCTTAGAATATATTATGAGAGGCTGAAGTAGCCTTTATGCGACTGAAATCGAGTTGAAGTCGATCGATAATTCCGTAAACCCGTCGACATAGCTAGATCAATTACCGGCGGATACAGTCAACGAGACAATCGGTGAGCGGAATAGATTTCTTTTGAGGCACCTGCTGGCGCCTCCCTTTTTTCGCAATACGTTCTCGCCTTTCGGTTGTTGTATCTTGCTGGTGCAGATACTTGTCAACCGATAAATTAGTATGTCCCGATCGGTCTAAGCTAGCACAGTCCCTTGAAGCATTCTAAATCGACGGAAGTGCTCCTATTTTGATACGTGACAAGCTCCGCTTGCCTCACTCGGAAGGCAAAATTAAATACGGAAGTGTCGACGAGCAAATAGCAATGAAGGGGACAGCCAAGGTTACTGAGGTATGGATCGGTGATGGACCCCTGCATCGATTCTAGACTCATTTACTTGCTCCCTGATAGCTCAGTAGGTAATGTATTCGGACGCTAATCATAAATACGCGTTGTAGTCTGGTTTCGTGCTGGAAAAGCTGTTAGCTATTCCATTAGCTAGTCGTCTGGTGGAATTCCTAACAGCGATATCGGACGTAACACTAAAAGATTGAGAACCTCACTTACTTTCTGCGTAATGGTTGAAGCACGCGCTAATAAAGGAAGCTCGACGCGTGCCTGAATCACTTTGCAAGAAAGTCGCAATGAGGTACACAAAATGCAGGAAAGGATATTTTATTAAAAATCTGCCGATCACCAATTGCTCGAAATAACACAAGACAGCGACAACATTAAAACTTTGTTCGCATTCTGTTTAGTGACATACTATTACTATATATAAAGAAGTTTTTTTTACCAGACAGTATTATTTCTACAAGCTTAAAAAAGTAGTGCAGCTCAGCAGGTTCAATAATAGGCACGGGCCTAATGTCGTCCCTACGATTATGACTATTGCCTACCAACTCATGGCAGTGTTACTGTGAATGTCGTTTGTTACCGCTATTTTGTAGACGTTGTTGTGAAAAAGCTTCCATAAACTTTTATAGTGAACGCAAAGCAGTATCTGGGCTATTTAATTAGAAATTGTATACCTTTACGCGCTGTTAGTTAGAAAATTTACGCACATATTTCTGTAGTACGGTGTTTTCGGCTATAAACTTGCATAAAACAACAGATGTTTCTTTGTGAGGCGTTGTAAGTTTAAACTGCATATGGATTATTTTTGCGCGGACTGTATGCACTTTCAAAGTGCGCTGCCAACAGAAACTATTCCACAGATACGCTAACATGTCTAAATCGATTAAATCAGACTCCCTTAAGATCTGTAAGCAGACAGTGCGGTCTTCGAGCCGCATTCTCGGGTCGAGAATTTATGAAATAAGTAGTCGTATAATGACTGATTTCTTATCGTGCAAAATGAAAATACGTACATGTAAAGTGTTTCGGTATAGATAAGATGCCTGGAAGGTTATAAAAATCTTTACATATCAAGCGAAGTTTTCTATAGTTTTCTGTTAAATCGCGTTAAGATCCCCCCCTATATTTCAAACGGAAGAAAACTAAAATCTGGAAGAGATTTTCTTTCGGGACCTCAGACTTTTTCTTGAAAGCTTAGCAGACGTTTTAGACTCTAGCGAACCTTTGGCTTCTTTCGGCTGGCTTTTTAGGATATTTTTTCAATATATAAGTATACCAGACTGTCCGAGTAAGTATTTGTTAAAGGTAAAAAAAAGACGAATGTCGCATGATAAATTGCCTTCGAAATTTTACTATAGTTGGGTCACTTCTTAATATCTTTAATAATCCAGCGAATAATAAACTCATAAAAAAGCTTGTTTGTTTAGGATTTGTATTCCCAATAAAGTATTCGTTTTAGTAAAAACATAATAAACCTAGCTTGATTATTTTACCGAGCTTACATCAACATAACATTACTGGCGTGAATGGCGTTTTTTTTTCAGTGACCTTTACATCAGCTCTTCGTTGACCTAAAGGTGGGAACCAACCCAATTTAGTATTATTCTAATTTTGATTTCATAACAAGACAAACGTAGATGAACAACAAAAGGTAATTAAGTAGTATCAGCGATATATGCTCGAATGCCATAATTAAAGAGGCTTACACGAGCTTCGAGCCGAACACCGCACGCTCAAATCCTTACCTCGAGCTTCCATACCGTAGCCGATATAAAACTCTATAGATGGCACTTGCTTAGGTAAAAGCAACGGTTAAGTTCTAGTCTTTTTTTAAAAGGTCAGCCTATTTTCTAAAAGTCAGCAAGTAATCAAAATGAAATTAAAAATTTCATAGTCATCAGAAAAGCTAGCATTTTTTAATACAGCGAGTGTGGAATGCGTTACACCATATGCGCATGAGATGATGTTTCGTAAAAGCGTTCGCTCACACTGCAATGTTGATGGAGAGAACAAAGGCCCGCAAGATAACTTACCACTTGCGGTATTATACTTCATGTGTTTCCACGGGTGGCGCTACCTAAGCCTCCGTTGGGAAAAAACTTCACCACACTTAAGTTAGGAGAGAATCTATGCCATGTTCATAAGTCCTTTGAGAGACACAATCGTTTGCTTTTTGTTCAAAATACGTGAAGTACACGGTGCGAAAGATAAATGTCTTGTTATATGAGAGCGTATGTTAAGCCGCCGTTAAGGTTTGACTCTTCCAAAATATCACATGCGAGACTGGCTACCATACGATGACATCTATACACTGTGTGACGAAGACTAAATTCTCAGTATTTCGAGTGTCACTATATAGCAATCGTACGTCATTCCCTATGGCCCTTATATGGCCATCTCCTCAGCTGGTCTTAAATGTTATTACAGTTACTGCTGCGAGACGAATGCCATATTCCGGCCTCTTCTACTTTGGGTAAGAGAAAACTTCAACATTAAGCCTCGAAATGAAATAAAAAAAAAACAAAAAAACTAGTTTATCCTGCTAATGGCTTAAAGCATAGGACTGTTTTTCACGTAAAACTTTATAACATCTGCAATCCCCACACAAAGTGTCGGTACAATTAAGCTGAGAGTGAGTCGGATTCTGAGAACACTGGGAATGCGATCGTGCTTTGTACCATTTTTGTACTTTTAGCCTTCAACCCAGAGCAACGTAGGCTGGAACAAAAGCAGGGTGAAGCCACCAGATGAAAGTAAAGCCTGTGGTATCAAGCTATTCAATATTTCTAATTCGTACAATTGACGACCGAGTTGTTAACTTCGCCTATTTACCCATAGATAGTTCTGAAGGGCTTACAAAGAAACTAATTTCCATAAGTGACTCGAAGCGAAGCACAAAACATTAAATTTCTGTTACACCATGAAGATAACTCAATTAGAGAAACACTCTAAAGAAACCGGGTGGCCAGATTCCTTGAAATATATACTGTAAAATAAAAGATCAATTTTAGCTTTAGCCTCAACGGTGGTATAAACCAAAAAGAAACTTATGGTACTATCGTCGCTTTTTCACGGGTTATCTAGCTTCAAACAATAACTACAACTGTCTCAATTCCCTATAGTAAACCGGTGTATATAGTTCAACCAAATACCCTAATAAATAGCCACTAGCTAGCCTCAATTAGTGTTTCAGTAGCGTGAGTTAGTAGCAGTGTCGCTATAGAACTGAGCAAAACCGTATCTCCAAGTCGACCCTTCAGCTGAGCGCGTTTGTCGCCTTTGGTCTGGTTTCTTCCTTGAGTGCCTTAGCCTGTAGACCAATCGCGATGAAATACAACCATCCGTTATTTATTGGATAAGTTATGCAAACAGATTAAATTGGCCTGGAAACATATTCGACTTTATCTATTCCTTGTTGCTGTATTAGCAACGGAGGGACTTTCGCCATTTATATAGCCAAGTGGAGATCTCCTCTAACCTGGCAGGAGTACGGTGTTCACATAACCTCGTCGCAAAAGGGGAACGCTTTGTATTGTACGTACATATATTTTTTAAGAGTCACTTTCATACTCGCGTTATGTACTCGACATTGGCAATTAAGCACAGTCTTTGATTTCATAGGCACCTTCAAAGCGCCCAGTTATTTCAGGATACTTTTGGTCATAGGGACACGGAAAGTTGCGATATAGTCCCTGCAAGCAATTTCGTTGCACAATATAGGATGAAGCTTCGTGTAGCGACATTTTACGTAATTGAACTTGAAACACCTGGCAAAAGCTGTTTTCATTGTCTACTAACTTTTCAGTGAATAAATTGAATAGGTTCCCTGTGGCACTAACATAGTCTTATCTACAAACTCCTAGTTATTGACGGGAAACCGGATTTCTTTTTCAAGTTTATTATATTCTAACTTTTTGCTATATTTGATGTACATTGAATCATCCCCGATCCGAACTGTGAGGTATTACAGTCTTAGGATCATCTATGAGGAGGCCCACCGTATAACTGGGTCCACCTTAGTCACCCCGCAAATGCCCGCCAAAGACGTTTCTATCGCGGATTGCCAGCTTCGAAGTACTCACTGTTGATCGTTAGTTGTTGGTTAGGTACTTACACCGCTTTGCTGGGTTTTTCTTTGGCACGTTGTGTGGTAACACTGTACCGCAATGCCTTCGTACCAACGCTGAAATTTGTACTACCGATAGCCGTTTATTCATAGCTCATGCGCTCATAGGTTTATTTCAAACCACGGCGCTCCTCACGGCGTCGCAACAATATGCTATTATAGCCAATAGTGTTATGACTGGCTCATTTCATCGTGATGACTCAATTAACTGGGCTATGAACGACCCTTACTGCCAAATATTTTTGGTACAGATGCACGATGATAGCACGGTTATGAGCGAAGTTCAACACGTTTAAATCTGTTACTCAGTAACGTAAACACTGATTTCGCGGAGTGTCTTTATTAGACGTGGCCTCCATGGAGATAGTACCACGTTTATGGTGATATCAACCTTGAAACACTTACATGAATACTTTGACATAAAGATAGATTAAGTTGGAATTATTTAGCACCAGTCTCGTGACCTGTTTCGCGTTATAAGCCTTAAATGAAATATTTGAGGGCAATGGATAAGAGGATAATGCATTAAATGTATTTTGAGATCTAGCTCTACAGTTGTTAGTCATGTAGACGACACGTCTTGTGATTTTTTCACATGTAATTTTTAAAGCAAAAGTAAAAAACTCATGCTTTCCTAAATGGCAATTGACCTAAGTGTCGGAACAGCCCATTAAAAACGATATGTATGTACTGCACACGCCCTCAAAAGTAAAACTTTATGATTGTTTTTAATTCCTTTTTTATGTAAGTCTCTGGTTACTTCGTTAGGCGCGAATTCTATTCTCCAAAAAATGAATGTTTCACACTTTTTTTTTTCAAAATCAAGGCCAACAAACTAACAAACATCTGTGCTTAATAAAGAAGCATTCAACTGGAGAATCGCTAAATAGTAAAAGTCTGTAACGACTGAGATCCGCTTGAGATGAACAGATTATCTTCTTCTAATATCGTCTCTTGCGGTTTATAGTCCCGTTCACAGTTCGCGTTCTATCAAATAGCATAATGAATAGATTGCGTATGTGAATGTATGTATCTACTAGCCCCCCCTACAGAAATTATTGCCTTCTATCAAGAATGGCCTATATCGGTAAGCATAATTCGATGTTAACTCACGGGCTGACAATTAACGCGCCGTGTGGTTTTAGGAAACGCATAGATGGCCATATGCAAAGATAATACACGTTCGCCCTATGAAAAAGCCATGAAAATACCACCGCCTGAAACAACGAACGGTCGGCATAAGAAAGTAACGAGGTGGGTGGGTCCTTGTTTGGCAGAACAAATAGGCCTTACCTCAAAGGTATACTTAGAGCTGCCCAGAGATGCTTTTTGCTTCTGCCAGAAGTTGTCTGGTTTAAGAATGTAGACGTTGTGCACTTTCGCGGGAAATGCCTCCTGTAAAACTTTCAAAACAGGTTTGACGCCAGCCCACGTCTGCTGGCCACGCATATCCACGATGATGGTAAAACCGCATGCCCGCGACTCTTCACTGGAAGTGACAAATGAGTCTTCATCATCATGCGAACATGGGAGAAAAAATACCTATTGATCGAAACCACTTTAAGCAACTAACCAAGACGAATGCTGGGTAAAAAGTTAGAAACTTACATAATTGCTTTCCAACTATGGAAACGAACGAGTAATAAACGTCTAACAAGCATCTAGAACAACACTGTGTGTCAATTAATAATATTTGACAAAAAAACAGAGGACTCGACAGTGTGGAAGGTACCTGGGTATCCCCGAGAAGTAGACGAGCACCTTCGTTATGTCCTCGGGGTTAAAACGCTCGAGTTTAGAGCCCGATGGAAAGGTCACTATGGGACCTCCATGCCGATCTCGACCACCTGCAATTAATGTCAACAGACGAAGACAATTGTTACCGATTCATTGTACTCGTTGGATTTTGAAGTAGCACTAAATAAAACTAAGCGATTCGAAAATAGTAGCGAGGTTTCGCAGGAGCATATATGAATCAAGGGATTCATATATGCTCCTGCGACCAAGGATCAAGTACATTCCAGCAACGGTTATTTGTGGTATAATTCGGTATAGTTGAATATCGTTTTTATATCGAGTCTTACTCTACATTTTGCATAGTCTATCTACTTTGCGCACTATCAACCAGCTTTGACAAATATAGTTATATAAATGATATGCGAATAAGCGGCACACACACAAAGACAACTAGAGTGAATACAAAACCAAAACCGAGGCAAATCACGTAGGTACAAAACGGTTATTAAGACAAATCAATATGACAATCAAGTTTTTAATGGGGGAGCCACAGGTAGCTGGTATAATGTGTGGACGACCAAAAATGGAAAACGAGCACCCTTTGGCAGAGCCGCCAAAGCGAACCAATTCAGCATTGTTGTTCAATCTGTAGCCAAATAGAGCATTATCCCCCATATTGAATGTGGCAGATGCTTATTCGTGCCTGCTAGTTTAGCGGAATCCGAACAATATAGCAGTGCCACAGTCAACATCAATCTACCCTGGCGTGCTGCATAAAATGTTATCGTTATTCTTCAATGAGTCGGAAAGCTTAAACCATTTATCATTTAGCTTAAGATTTTCCATGCGTTTGTGATAAGTAGAGAAGATAAGCTACAAAAGCTAGCTTCAAGTGTCACTAACAAAGCTGGGAACTGATCGACCACAGCTAACTCTGCTTTTCGACATTTGTGCATGAATATACGAATTCACGCATCATAAACTGTGGCTAGATCAAGAAACCCGGACTACCATCGTGTAGATGTCAGCTTTCATTTTTTATTGCAAAGAATACATGATTCTTTAGCTTAAAAATACTAACAGCACCGAAAGTCGTTCAGACAATAATACTGTTAGGACCTGTCTGCTACCTGTAACGAGGTTTTATTTAACAAGAAATGAGGAACAGCCACCAACGCGAGACTGGCGTATAATAACAACAATATATAGCTTCAAGCACTTTTTACTATGAGACAGTAGCGACTTTGTTAGCAGCTTCATCAACCGCTAATCGGTTTGGTAATGAGCAAAATGAGACATATAAAGAGCACAATGAATCTCACATTCTCTGGTATAAACATGGTTGATATGTATGTACATAACATGTGATGCACCGTTATATGGCCATTTCGCTCATTTCCCCTTCAAAGCAGTTCTATCTCAATTGATTCGCTATTACGCAAACCGACATTTAAGTGTTATGACCAATACATATAATTCATGGTCCTTTTATTCTGATAGCGCATTTCCGTATCTGTTCCGCTATTTTTTCGTATAGAAGGAAGACCCTTTCGTCATGCATTTCTTGCGTGTTATGACGGCGTCCCTATGTTCCTATTAAGTAAGCTTGCTAAATTGTAACGAATATACATATATGGCCGTTTTATACTCATAACGTCACAAGTATGCATCGTACTGGCGGTATCAAATACGCGATGTTCCGCTCTTAACAGGCATTATTAAGCGCTCAAAGTATGTCAAAATATATGACATAGCGAACCTAAGCCTAGGTCTAGCGCCTGAAGTCTGGAGTGATTTAACAAACCTTCAATGATCGTACAAGCGCCTGATAATAGAAACTAGTTACTAGTAATGGGTAAGTGCAAAAATCTGTGCAAAGACAGACATCATGTGGTGGTATACGTGGTGAACGCAAGCGAAACGGCAGATAAGTTGCACAGGTATCGTCACCTAGTGCACCGTTGAGAAAACGGGTGGTGCTCTTTGGTGGCCGTTGCCACTCTTAGGAAGCTATACCAGTGAAACTGAGGCAAGCCACATAAACAGTCGTGCAAAGGGAACAGTTGAAACAAGTTGAGAAACACGGGGCAAAATGACAGGCATAGGGGCTGGAGGCAGCGAAGCCCTTAATAGCGTGCGGTAGTTTTCAGGGTGGTAGCGCCTGTACAACAAGGCAAGTAATGGAAGCTGATAATAATGAATCATCAACTGTTCTGCGCACACACTCACACGATAGATAAATTCGCGCTGTGGGACAAAAAAGTGAACGCGAGAAGTATAATAAGGTAACGGGAGTTCATTTCCGCGAACGACCTTGCTCCATTAGCAATGAGCGGGTGCCCAAAGGTGAGTTTTTGGGTGGTGGTCACACGGGCAATGCCAGTACAGCTATATTGGTTCGCTTGCGTGCTCACGTGCACAAAAGAAGACGCTACAATATCATAGCAGCAGCCGCAATCTTCGTAATCAACCAGTTACAATGATCTCCGACATTATCAGGGCTAAGATGGAGGATACACTGTATGGAGTAGAAAGCAACAAATGAAGGAAGAAGAGCATTAACCGAGAGGACAAGGAAAAATGACGACGACGACAAAAACAACAATAACTGCAACGTAGGAATGAAACAGAAGATTGCTCAGAACTACGGTATTGCCTATTAAGAAATACACACTTTACTCGACTCGCACATGTTGCGCACCCATGTATACAGATAGCACTACCTGGCGGAAATCGTATTGACAAGCGTGAAACTACTCTGTCTATTCCCTTTGGGTAAAGACAAATCTGCAGTCAGAGTGCATGAATATATACACGATGGAGTCAGTATAGTACAGGCAAACAAGCCGTCAACAGTCTAGTCTATATTATTACTAGCGGGATGGCGACTGTTGCCGTCACTACTGAAGCTTACACAATCGTCATATAATGGACGATACAGCATTAACTCAACGAACCGCCCCTTTGCTTTTCCGGTCACTTTTCCCAACGAAAAGTCGGTCAGAATGTGCCATATAGACTTCGCAAGTCGCAGAACTCAAAAAACGCTTCATACGCTGGACAAACCAGGACGAATAAAGACCATGCTGTGAAACATGGCTGTGTGTAGAACATTGCACGTGAATTCAGACAGACCTGAAGATACAAACAATTGCTAGTTTTAACCTAACCTGTTTACTATGCGCCCTTATTACTTCCTATGTAAAGGTAATTGCATATAAATGTATATTAAATAAAGGCATATTGCGGTAGTGTTCTTTAATAATAGTGATAAGAATAATATAACTCTGGTTTAAACTGACCCGCATGTTTGACAGCCTCGGCGGGCTAGTTGAACCGACTGGATTCGCATGTACGCCGTACGTAAAATTTGAATAAGAATCCAAGAAAAAATTCAAGATGAAAATCCGAGGAGTGATCTAGAAAACTGTTTAGAGTAGGGCTTTGACCTCGGCAAGGTGCGTGGGATTTTCTACGGTAAGGAGCTACACATGCTATAATGAGAATACCCACAGAGTCGAGCTGCCATTTGTTAACGCAATTTTATGTATTTTTATTGTATGTAACAGCGCAACTATGTTAAAGTTCTGACGCAGGTCGTTACGAGTGTTCGTGTTACTGCTTCCAGTCGCACGAGCACATATATGAATAACAATTAGAATAGAAATGATCCATTTGTAGGTACGCGGTGGACACTGGTATGCTCACAAGGCAGACACGTCGACTAATATATCAATGTGAAGCTGCATATGGTAATCTTTTTCTAGTAGTAATACCCGTGGATGATAATATGCCTACCATCTATCCATATGTATTATTGACGACCTTCTCAATGTGACAATTTGTTCTCTGATATCCTGTAAATAATTAACCATCAGACGGACGCAACATACTGCAAACCAGAATCTCTGATTTATATGGTAAATTAAAATAGAGTAAAAGCTTTTACTCTATTATGATATGTGATAAGGTAATGCCATTAGTTGAAACAGTGCACCAACTTTTGAAGTACGTACTAAGTGTCATAAATCGTAATCCACGCTATTGATCAACATGAAAGTATTTTCCGATTTTTCTTTTGCTAACAAATTCATATGTATGTATGTATATATATATATATATATATAAATTACTGCCACTGATACCGTGTGTCGTCAAAGTGCCTTTCTTTGCTTATACAGACATACACTAAAGATGAGGCCGGCGTCAATCGACCGTCTGTGTGCATTCGGTATGCTTGCTTTCTTTTGCCCTCCTCGATAGCCCTGAGACATTTGTGCTCAGGACAGTGACACAAAGTGGCCCTCTGTTTCCTGGCTACCGTCTGATGACTCTGCATTGTTCCTGTTGAAGCATGTCTTCCTCATTATTGAGGGGTATCAGAAGCTTGCCAATACTACCGAGCCAATCGACTCAAGGGGAGCAGGAATGAAGAACAATAAAGATATGAGCGCAACTGATGTAATTTTTATTTCGGAAAAACAGCAGCATCGGCAGCGATGCCACAAGGATGGCACAGCTGAATTAGCATAAAAATATTACCGCTCTGCCTAACAATGAGTCTAGCACAAGGTAAATCAACGCAAAAATCATTCTATGATAACACTGCTGTCCTTCCTTGTGTATAGCAGAAACAGCAGCGGCTTGTATCTATCAATCAACACCAGTCTCAAAAATGTAGTCCAATGTCTGCTTCCTTCGAAGTCCCGTTTCTCCTTCGTGTCCCGTTCTCTCTTTGCGCAGACGTAGCTTTAACACATGACGGAGTCATCAAGTCAAAGTCAGTAAGCCTTATTTAAAAACCTCAGAAGTAAACCGTTCGTGTAAAATATAACTGACTCTGACACCATCAACACTTCTGACTTCGAGTTTATTTTGTTTAGCATTCGATCATACCTGTACATCGTAACCTTAGATCATTTATGGTCTGTAAAGTCTGCATTTGATTGCAAAGTTAAAATGAGGTCAGCCATGGAGCTGTATATACATAAAATAATTACTGAATAAAATAATAGACGTAACAGGATTTTATTCTACACAATGAATATAAAGAACTGTTTGATAAAAATCTGTTGGATCCAGATAGAAAAAGCAGTTCACTTAGTGACCTACCCTTTTCTAAAGTGAAAAATTCAACAGGTAGCCCTGGCACCCGTACGGTTTTAGAATCGCAACGAAGTTTGAACGACATGTACTCGCTGGTTGATTGATTGTAATGTACTTCCTAATTCGCCGTATATTCAACGAATTTTAAAGAGCGACAAAACTACGCGATAAACGGCTTGAAATGTTTAATGGCATCACGGGCATTTTTAGGAAATCAACATATACACTCTCATTGCAGGATCTCAGTAGTACCAATTGTAACTGTTTACCCTAAGGGACGTAACAAAGTAATCATGAACGCGGTACTCTTCCTCTGTGCCATCAGATGTCTTAGATGTTGTGCACGCACGCACGAAATCTTTGTTTATCTCACACTTTACTTTGTTGCTTTCGCTATAATTTTGACAAAAATTATTTTAGTAACACCCGACTGATAATCATGTTGCGATAATGACATATAAATCACTTGGACTTTAAGAAGTGCGTCGAATAACATCACCTTAATATCTCGGTAAATACATAGTTCTATAGTAAAGCGTTAGTAACATATTTAATCAAGCTATATAGAATTTAATTTCATATAAAACAACTCAATGAATACGGTAATTACTTGTACCGACATCAGATGTGAGAGCATTTCAGGTCGAAGACTAGCAAATAATTAGACCACATTCTCAGGAAAACATTTACTAAGCGGCATAGCCAGCTCGTGTACCTGTCGAATGCCTCCGGTATTTTGCGGTGGTGTGAAGCGTTAATTACTTTTATAAAAGTTCCTTGATAGATGAGGAAAATCCGGGAAAAATAGCGCGAGAAGTCGGAGCTTCGTGCATTATGAATGTCGGGAGTGAGCTTCCTTTCGAACATGTTAGCAGGCGAATTTGTCTCTAAAAGTCGAGCCGCGGCCTTTACGAACCAGCACACGATACCCGTACGCAGAGTGCGTGGGAAAAAAAACAGGGACGGATCGCAGACCAAAGCTTTCAAACAAATTTCCAGTATTTGTAACTCGTAATCTTCAAATTTCTATTGCTACCTAATTGGGGATCAGTGTGCTGCACTCGAACTTGTTCCACATAATAGAACGTAAAATTACAAAAGATTATTCAATTAGTGCATAGTACTTATATCTCTCTGTAGCAGGATGACCATGAATAAGAGAGCACAGCGAAGATGTTCTAAATGATGAGACTATATTTATCCTCTTAATTTAGTTTAAAACCTAATAACCTAATAGGAAAAAAAAGGATTAAAGAAATTAAGCGAGTGACTAATCAGAATGCGTTTGAAAAAAGCAAATAGTATCAACGTCTCAGTAACGCCGTTACTTGACGCAACATGTCAATTAAAAAAAATCAACGTTTTCCCATATTACGTGTCAAGCAAACGAAAATTGCAAATCTGAGAATAGAAGAACAAACAAATCAAAGCTTGCAAGTTAACTGATGATTTTCACGAAAAAACTGTCCAAAAACATTTTTATAATCCCTTTTTACTATGTGAATACATTTTTCATAAAAAGGACTACTTGCAGTTGGTTGTAGGGAATAAGTCTAGTCGATAGGGAGAGCTAGCCGGTGTATTTGACATAAGCTTTGTGTTCACAAGAAAATAACTCCCGAAAACGTCCTGCCTTATTTTTAACAGACTTCAAATTAAAATGAAGAATGACGTGAACTGCTATTCGTAGTAAAGGTCACACAAAACATCGTCTGTTCATTTTTAAAATCGTCGATTAACATACTGTAGTTTGACTATACAATCTTTTTGTACGCGTTTTGCTGGAGGGAAGAGAACCGCTGATTTATCTAACTTCAGGGCTGAGCACCTTCAAATGAAAATTGCGCTTTTAAGCGATTATAGTTTAAAGACTTTAGACGTGCTTTAATATGCTATAATCGATGACTCGCTGTGCCGTAGGCTGCGTTTTCCGTAAGGGCGGAAATTTTCTCAGATAAGCTTATTTGAAAAAGAGGATCAAATTGGCTTATAGTAATTTGTTGCTGGTCTACCTCGTCGAACAATAGATTAAGATGCTAAGTGTGTCATTATATAAAAGACGTATTCATTTCTGATGAATCCATGTATCTTAGAGAGATTAACTGCACTTACCAGAAAGTATAGCGAAGCGCTCCTGCAAAAGCGGGAGGATCTCCCGTGCTTGAAGACCCTCCATGCGGCTTTCTGGAACAGACAAATATGAAAGTAACAATAATAAAAGTATAGGTTAGTGCACGTAAGCATACATTAGTATAAGTATAAATCAGAATAGAGCTTCTACAAAATTGACATTACTTAAAATACTTTCGGGCCTTCACAGATTTCTGCCAATCACGGAAGAATCAGGTTTGGAAAGCAGATGCTAAAGCTCCTCAAATGCAATTCCAAAAGTATGCAGTCAAACAAATATACGCTGCTTTATTTAAAACGTCAAAAATACGCCCTTGGTAGGTCCCCATGAAGTAAACTCAGTTCGTAGTAAACTAGTTGATTTCCATAAAACTACGCTTAGGAAGTTTATATGCAGTTGATTAAAGGTTGTGTTGAAATATCTTACAGGAAGTACGCAGAAGATCATATTTGATATTGAGATAATGAAGGACAATAGAAAGTTTTAGAGAAACTGTCCCACAAAACTTAAATGGCTGGACCCACCTTAGGTACTTTTTAAATGTTTACTATTTAGCAGTGTGGCCAAGCTAACCTTTAATATAAACCTCCTAAATATTCAAGTAGCTTGAGCTGCCATTCATTGGCAGGTGGCGGTACTCAGAAACCGGACGAGAAGTTCAACGATGGTGCAATAACTAGACCAACTACTCGTGAAGAGATAGCAGGTGCAAACGCGCCCCTTTGTTGATCGAGCATTTTGTGACTCATTAATGATTCAGTAATATTTTCTCCCATTAATAAAAAAAAAAATAGATCAAACACTGACAAATCTTTCATTCAATAAAATCCGTGCACATATGATAAATCTTCATTTCTGTTAGGCTAGCTAAGTACTAAGGGGCAAGTGGGGTTCACCTCACACTTTGGATACGCCGCATTAACTACAGCGAAAGATCTCTCGAATTTTCTTCCACAAGTTTTAACCGTCCCCAGCTGAAGCGCCCGATCGTCGTTGTGTTTGTAGTAAATCGGTTAGGCTGCACAGATCCCTCTTTACGTATATATATATATATATATATATATATATATATATATATATATATATATATATACACTTTCATTTTCTCGCTCTTTCTTTCGCTATCTACCGCTAACGATCGCTCCACGCACCACAGCAAAATAAGGACGATCGTACGAGCATTGTGCTGAGTGTGTAGAGATCACATTGTCAGTAGCGAGTGACGACTTTTATGGGTCTGTCATCTCGAAGGGGACGTATGAGGGCCATTACCATATGTTTCTCACACTGAATGCAACAGTCCAGGGGGAACAACGCTATCGGCGTAAGCTTCACATCATCGAAACCGACGACCATTTTCTCGGTAAATAACGGTAGCACTCAGGACGACGGCGGAGCCTTTTTCATTCGCCTGCCGCATTGTCGCAGTTTTATTTTATGTTACATTCATCTGTGTGTTCGTAGAAGCAGTAGAAAACAGCGTGACCACACGAATTAAGCTTGAACGAACATGGCGTTCGTACACAACCATTTGCATGCAGGTTCATAAATGTTATGTATATTGCATTTATACTAAATAGTTAAGTTTTCATTCAATTAACTTCTTACTTCAATGCCTAATAGCCACAAATAAAAATATAATTAAACGTGTAACATTCTAAAACCTCGATCGGCCTTTTAGTTGTGACATACAAATTCTATGTTTTGCAGCCCATTCTTATAGTCGACTTGAATATAAGCAAAATATCCTACCGTCCAGAGATCGAGCCGCCCTCAGTCGAAAACGAATTTCTCCCAGGACAACATTTATTTGAAAGCTTTTAAACATGATGCCTTTTTTTGGACAATAATTGTAACACTATATTTGCCTTTATCGATCCTTTGAAAGCCATGCAGAAATACACATGGCGTAATAAAGGCTATGAAGTTTCATAGACGTAACAGCCTTAAATAGGACCGCTGACGGCGGACTTGCTTGACACCTAATCTATAATGACCTGTCACGAATAATAGTTCATGTATAAAATAGAAAAGTATAAACTGGCGTTATTGCTATTGCTGAAACGTGTGAACTAGTATAATCACCAGGACCACCAGAATCACCAGGAGAACGTTTACCTGCGTACAAACCTATTGTTAGTCATTGTAATTAGTAGGATACAGAGAATAGCCAGCCTTGTTAATATGCAGTTGAAAGCCCGTTTGAAAAGCATTTCAGGATAAACGGTCTCGGAAACTACTTTCCTCCAGGATATCTTCCTGTTCCTTTTTAGATTAGAAACCATTTGTCGAGGTCTTTCGGTTTTTTTTTTTACCACGAAGGACCTGTGCAATGCTTCAAAATGAGTAAAAGTTAGTTGACATATATTGTTAATGACCCTAGGGCGAAATTGATTTAATACGTACGTCGTTTATACAATCACTCTTCGGCGGAATGCTCTATTTTGCCGGAACGAGCTCTACGTCTAACTATCAAAAAGCGTTAGGACGCAGACCACAAAACTTGCTGCATTTGCACCCGCATCCAAACACCGTCTACGACGAGATCGTAGATAAAAAAACACGTGACGCATATTTGACATTCGTCAACAATGTAAATGGTAAACTCGTCAAGGCCCAAGTACGAGTAAATTGTACCGAAGTTTAATCTTGAATACGATGAGTATACACTGCTTACACCTATTTCACGTTTTAGCTCGAAATCGAGCAAATCGGATCTGTCAGATGAGCTCGAAGGATCCAAAATGAATTCAAATTTCAAAAACAAAAAAAAAGGTTCAATTAATATTAGTTTATATTATTATTAAATTTACAATGGAGGGTTGTAGCAATTAGTTATATTATGAAGCAGTACCAATGAATATGTAGTGTAGAAATTTTACTTATCCTACAGTGTACTAGCACGCATTGCATCCGAAAATAGCTACTAGTATGAAAACGTCGATTCATCCCAAAGGTATAGTAACTTTCTAAGACTTCTGTGATTCAAGGCGAAACATAGGCCTAAGTGCCACTGTGATTTAAATTCAAGCTTAAATTCTAATTACACCCCGCACGGATAAGCGAATGTGTCCCGTGACAATTGCAAACTAGTTACGCTACGTTAGTATATTGAACATCAAGACACCGAAAAATCTCGGCGAATACGGGTCGTGTAACGGACCTAGTAAAGGAGGCTACCAGTGGTATAGACTTCGTAGTTAATTTCACGTATCAAAATCACCTGTTCAATTTTACTAATCATATAAAAATACGACAATTGCTGTTAGTCTATAATTAAATTTTAATAGTTTTCCAAGTGCAATTATTTTGTCATACCGCTGCTATGGAAGCTACAGCATGTAAAAGGTTATGCATGACACTCACTTGCAACTGGAAATCTACGACCGATGCTGTTCGACGGCAGCCCTGGTTCTAATTCTGTTCTCAACAGAATGATAAAGCAAGGTGATAAACGTCAACTGAAATAAGGTCTGTAAGTGCCACTGTTACCGCGAAGTACCCGAACCACCGTAGTACGTGATGTGTGACCTGAACGCGTCATATGGGTCTGTACTCTTCGAATCCATGATAGTCATATGACAATCATATCATAAGTAAAATCGAAGTACACAAGAAAAATGACCTTTGTTACATCGCTATGTAAAATATACTTCATAGTGATCACTGCTGTAGCAGCAACTCTGATCCGGAAAAACAAGCAGGTATTTTATACTATTATTTCGCCACTTATACTGTTGTATTTTCGAACTGACCCTCAGCTTTGATCCTATGTTGCAGAAAAGTTTTTATAATCACCTTTTAATATTATTTCGGTCATTTATTATTAAAAACGTAGTAAAAAAGTATTAAAAACGGCCAAGAGAAGCTTCTGTTGCTTATCTGGGGCTTCTCCCGCAGACATATGAGAAGGCAAGGTAACCATATCAACAACTCCTGTAGCTATTATCCTTTTTCCGTCTTCTTTCTATTCATTAGTTTTTTGTTATTATGTGGCAACGATGAAAATTAAACCAACAGTAACAATTTCAATCGGATTATTTGATTACTTTAAAGCTGACTACTTCACAGGCATGTCGCAGAATACTGTTCACTGCTGTGCAACCTTAGGCAGTACGTGCATTAGTATGTGCATTCAGGCAGTATCGGGCGAAAAACTTTGTTTCATCAATTAATACGCATCTGAATCTATGGTTCCACAAAGACGCATACCAATCATAGCACGTGCAGCTACTCAACTATTCAGGTTACATATGTCGTCCTATAAAGCGTTAATCGAGTAGTAAAAAAAATTTCGTATGCTCCATTCTATTCTATAAATACTATAGATCTAATATTATAGACTTTTGCCAAGCGCATTCATTCGTAAGATCACTCAAAACAAGCTGTCTTTTATTAAATAATTGTACGTAATATTATTAGTTCACATCCGTGGAACCCCTCAATATAGTTTTCTTTGGAACTTCACACCAATAATGATACTGCATAACTACTAAGCATAGTTTACCCAGTATATCTACGCAGGCGAGAACAAGACGATAGAGCTTTCCCACCGTTGATGTGCAATTCGCAGAAATTATATAATCATTCCACTGATTGCATATGGTGACACCGGCACTATAAGGGTTGCATATGAAACCTATGACGACTTCCGGGTGGCTTGCTAAAAGTTCTGCATAGATTTTATAGCTTAGTCCGACGACATTTATCAATGAAATGCATTCTTAGCCTATTGAAAGTACCGCGCTTTTCAATTTTAACTTACAAGTCCTCGGATCGCTTCAGCCATATTGTCGTACTATCCAGAGCTACCGTTAGCGACACTATGCACTATACGAACATTATGAAAACCTGCACATAGTACAAGTAGCTGTAATGAAGTTCGTCATCAAAGCGATCCTCAAAATCGTGATAGCGCTGAAAATAGTCCCGTCAGAAATGCGTCTTTTCCTTTCAACTAAAAACGGAATGAAAATATAAATACTTTGCGCGCCGATGCTTATCCGCTCGCTTTCCAAGGATCTCCCTCCGTTTACACCTATATACAACATGA